CTCTGGACTCAAGGCGGTCGATTGTGGCGGTCGACCGCAAACTGACACAAAGCAATTACAGGTTGAAAGTTGTTTTTCTGATTTTAAAAACCTATTTAAAAATATCAAATAAATTCAAAAAATATAAAACTTTGGGAAATGATTGTAGACATGATAATACACATGCTACTAAAACTGGTTTTCAAAATGTATCTCCCAAAAGAAAAATATCATTATTTTGCAAAATAGTCCAAAACATGAAAATATAAATATATGAGTTTTGACATTTTAGCTTAACCATGTTTTGAAACATTACAAAATGATTTTGTAGACTTGAACAAAGATTTAAAGTATTGTTATGAAGTCTATAAACAATGAGTATAGTATTTTATCAAAATACATATATAATGCACTAAAACATGATTTCATTGAACTAAATAAAATTGATATTGATGAAATCATATATATGCATGTAAGTATGAAACAAGAAATATATTTTCAATTGTATTTAATTGNTATATATATATATATATATATATACAAAGAAACCAATAAAATGTGTGTGTGTATATTATATTGAGCTTAAGGTACTAACACACATAATATAAACTTCTAAACTAAATTACCCAAGCTTGTGATCTTCAACGAAGCTCTATCTTGGTACACTTACGGATGAAGCTTGAACTTGAATCTTTAACTTTGAATTGCATAGGCTTCACTCCATAATTTCGCCAACCTCCATTTGATATGATCGTGAATGCTCGATTCCATTCATCCTCTAACATGTTATTTGTCTACAGTTGATATAAAAACACAAACACTAGACAAACAACATTAGAAGTAAATTATTTGTAAATCATCATCAAAACAAGAAGGCCAACATAAAGTTTTTAAAAGTTCGCGGTTGACTGGGATGAATTTTTGGAATACTTTGGATCCTAAATTTTGTTGAATGATTGTTCACTCCATCTGTTTTGAGGGCATTGTGAATTTGGTTGTTGGAATTTGCTGTATGTCGCAATTTTGCTTCATGTATTGGTGATTCCTTACAATTTCTTTTGGTAACGGTTAACCTCATACTCCCGATGAACGTGTAGAAGTAGTTAAGGTAACTCCGATCACCTTAAATCAAACAAGATAACTTTTGTGTCTTGATAACAATAAACTTAGTCAAACAAACTAAAGTCTAAGTCATCATTGTTAGATCCATTAGTAGGACTAACTTTTTCCTCTTTTTCGGTAGCAGGAATAATAACATTCTCAGCCTATGCAACAGAAGCAAAAGTAACAGTGAATTTTCTTGGATCTTTGAGATACTCCTTCAACTCATATGAAGTTATATTCATTGTCAACAACACCAGCAAAAAAGATTCTTGTAGGTATTGATGAACACCCAACGCATAACTGTAGGAGTTAAGTAAAAGAGAGCCGATGATAGCAAAGCCACCATAGAAATACCAGTTACAAACTTGTCAACATGGCCTTCTTCAGTGAGGTTGAGCACCTTTGGGCTGAAAATGGATCCATTATCATAGACATAGAGAACCACAAGCCCGTATGAGAAGAACCTTATCCCAAATTTAGCCTTGAGGATAGCCTCAGAGAGACCTGATTCAACTGGGGTAATGATTTCAATAATACCTTTGTTAATCTTGGTTGGAATGTTAAGCCATTTGGAAGGATGAGTTACGCGATGGATCAAGCTCAATAGTATCAACATTATTGATTATAACATGTTTGTACTCATCCAAGAGGCTGCATAGTTTCTTATCATAGGCTAGTTTCTTCTAGGCTTTCGTCACCTTGATGGTCATTATTAGCTCTTTTCTAATTATTTGAACCTGTACGATAGCCCTGGTCATCAAAATGTTTGTATTGTGGTGTTGAAACGTACAAGTGAATCATGTGCTTAAGACTTAGGACGCAGAGGTGAACTTTAGATCAGAAGTTCAACCAACTCCAACGAGGACGCAGAAGTCGCATTTAGGCGGGATTCTTATCTAGAATCTCATTCCGATTTGATAGCTCACAGCTGTCTATAAATAGACCGTTGTGGTCAAATCAAGAGTCATTCAACTCTTCTCTGTTCTTCCCCGAACCGTTTAATGAACAACTCTTTGTTTTAACCTTCGGTGAATTCTGTTCATCTTCTCCGATCATCCTCATCAATGGCGCCAAGGAAGAAGACTGTCTCCCGACCCAGGCCCGCTGTCACCGCGGCTCAGAGTTCCTGTCGGCGATGCTACGGATCAGCAGGTGTGCCATTGCCACAATTCCCTTTCATCGGTGGTAAGTATGGTCTTTGTGGCTGTAAAAATTGCTTCGGTAAGTTCTAAACTTTGAATAACGAGGAAACTCATTTTAATGATACAACGCAGAGTTAGGACTCTGTCGTTTGGAATTTGAAGCGTGGGGGTTTGACCTTTACGCTTGAATTTTGTAACGCAAGGCTTGGACTCTGCATTTGTCTTTTACAATGCAGGGTCTAACCTCTGCGTTTGAATGTTTTAACGCAGGGTCTGACCTATGCATTTGAATGTTACAACGCAGGGTCTGGCCTATGTGTTTGAATGTTTTAACGTAGGGTTTGACCTATGCATTTGAATGTTACAACGCATGGTCTGGCCTCTAAATTTGAATGTTTTAACACAGGGACTGGCCTCTGCATTTGAATATTTTAACGTAGGGTCTGACCTCTATGTTTGAATGTTTTAACACAAGGTTTGACCTATGCGTTTTAATGTTACAACGCAAGGTCAGACCTCTGTGTTTGAATGTTTTAACGTAGGGTCTGACCTCTGCATTTGAATGTTCTAACAAGGGGTTCGACCTCTACAGTTGAGTTAGGTCTGATTGCTCTTTTCTTTTGCAGTGCTTTATGCCAATGAACCCCTCACTTTTCGCCATCACTTTGGTTATGAAGGTGGTGTAGACTTAAATATGTAATTCAATCTACATCAAGAACTTTCAATTTTTCAAGACGCTGACAGGGAACGTGCCACTTTGATCACCCAAGCTAATCCGACTGTACTCAGAATTTTGGTTACAAATGCCAACTTTGAAACTGAATCTCGTAAGAAATTCATCAAACCGACATTTCTGTTTGGAGATAACATTGTCATTCAGTAAAGAAATCTCATATGGTGGGGATTACAAATGGTTAAGACAAATAGGAGATCACCGCTTCTTCCTTCATGATATGCAGAGGATGTTCCCTATCTCATATTACCAATGCGCCTCCGTCTCCGGATATATGAATTGGGATCTTGTCAGAGAGCATGATGGAGTAGCAATTGGAGGACTGACTTTTACTGGCGTGCACACCGTAGGCTACAACCGACAGGTGTCAGCTTTAGAGCCATGCTTATTCTCAAGAGGATACCCTATTGGGGAAACAGCTAGTCCAGCCAACACCTTCATACGGAGATTTTTGAATGTGAAAGGAGATTTCCCTTCTTCAGTGTTTAGAACTCCCGAATGGGTACATTCCACCAGAGCAAGGTGGTGGACGAGAATGATAGAATTTGTATTAAAAGAATTAGAGGGACCGTTAACTCGATCTGGGCTCGGCTACCCTATAATGGCTACTAGATATGGTATTGATCATAGCCATTACAATTTTTATGCTATCTTGGAGAGATACAACCCAGAGACGTGTACATTCTTCACTCTGGTTGGGGAATTAGGTTTGCTATCCATGAAATGTATGATGTTTTCGGCCTTTCCTTCGGAGATTTACCCTATGAAGAGTTTATCCGAAGGTCGAGTGAGCTTAGGATTTTGAAGGAGACCAACCCTGAGATCTATAACGCCCTATGGGAGGTGATGTGTCATTTTTAAATTTGTACCCAACTGACGGGGACACGAGGAGGTGCCGTAAAGCAAGTATCTTGGGCTGAATATCTTTTTCAGAACTTTCTCATAAGGTTGTTGGCGTATCTCATCGAGATGTGAGTACTCTGGAGACTATTCAAGCTTTGATCAATGACGCCACAACTCATTACGTAAATGAGGGAGGAGAAGATGGCTTCCCCACTCAGACTGAGTTTGAAAGTTTCCACCACCAAGTTGCCACTCCCATTTCTGACATGACTTTGCTGGCCGGGTTTCTCATGTTATGGCTAAAATGATGCGTCGTCCCCACCAAACTGATAGATGTTGTGATAGCAGAAATAGTCTATTCGGCTATTCTCTTAGCTTATGGGAGGATTGTGAATTTACTTTAAGCTATGGTGTGTTGTTTGCAGCATGGTCTGAGGGAACTGTGCCTTGAATTCATTCAGGTGAAAGAGATAGGCTCCGGAGAGAAGAAAAGTTTGATAACTCCTAATCCTCGAGTACCATTGTCATATACCTATCAGATGGCATAATACGTATCTCATTGTCCTCACCTAATGAGTGCACCATCTTCCTCAAGTGATGTATTCATCCCCTTCATACAGAGGTAAGAAAAAGCTACCTGGGAAGGAACTTATGTAGTAAAGGTTCATCGAATCTTATCGAGAGATCTCAACTATCATATATTCCGTTGCTTCTCGGACTTTAAAGGTGGGGGATAAGGATAGGAATTTCAAGACGCAGCTGGCGTGAACGGTTTCACTCGATTGGATGGAGGAGTCTTCAGCTGGTTACTCAACATCAGACTAGGTTATCTCCTTTTTAGACAGAGTGAGAAGTGTATAATTAAGTCGTACCAACCGTACAGGTTCGCTCGACAATTTAGGTATGACCAATTATATATTAGGAATCCATGGGGTCAGCTTGGGGACATTGGTAATCTATATGAAGGAGCTCGGGCCTGGTATTATTCTATAGTAGGCTGTACTGGGGCTACATTCAGATTACCTCACAAGACACCCAACTCTTTTACCTCTATGACTTTCTGCAATTGGTATCACACAGCTTTTAAGATGTCTGATTACAAGTTGAATTTATCCAATTTATGGGAAATTAGAAAAATGTATTTATCTTGAAAAGGGTCCCGAGTATCTCGTCTGAAAGGAATCAACGAGTTTTTATCCTATGAGGATGAAGCTGAAGAAGAAGAGGGAGACCAGGGACCGGAGAGCGCTCAAGAAGAAGGGCTTAGGGCTGCCAAAACTCCCAAAATAAAGGTTGCTAGAAAAAAGGGCTCTTACTGAGGAGGAAGAATGTCAGTATGAGAAACATACCCGTAGAAAATTATTAGCAGATTCTCCTCCACAGAAATTAATAACGGATGCTTTCAAGTCCGCTGAGAGAGAGGAAAGACAGGAATCTACCGGTGTAAGTCTTCTCCTTCGCACTGGAGGAAAGATAGGAATCTGCCGGTGTAAGTCTTCTCCTTCCCACTGGACTCCGTTCCATGGGTCCTGCTTTATCAAGTGAATTTTCTTCCTATCACCCCTTGGATGAGGAAGAGGGCGAGAGTGAGTCATTTGCTAGGGATGCAGAGTCTTTCCCCACAATGGACCATGTTGCTTCAACAGCTCCAGGTCAAGCTTCAGGTGTCGTTCCTCCAACCAGAGAGGTGATGCCTACAACATCTCAATCTGATGGAGTTAGGCCTCCCGTAGATGAACCTGTAGTGGCTGAGCCTGAAATACTTGCCGAAAATCAATTTTCCACTACTTCAGCGTTAATGCCACCTATAGGGGATACAGTTCCTAGCCTAACAATAGGCGTCATGACTAAGCCAGCCACAATCACAAGTTCCCCTAGACCTTCTGCTGCAAATGATGAGGAGAAAGTGGATTATGGTACCTCTTCATACAGCGACGATGCCGATGAGGGGTATAATGATATTGGTCACGACGACGATAATCTTGATGATTGGGATATCCCACCATCGTTATCCTCTGATAAGGCATCGGCCTACATCCCTCCTTCTCCCCTTGGTAAGTGTCGTCCCTTTCAAACTTTCTAATATTTTCTTTTCGTGTACTAATTGTTTTCATGTGTAGAATCCCTGACTCATGAGGCCACTGATATGACTCTGCCTCTTGAACAACAAGCAATCACAACTTCTCTCCCGGAGCAAGCACCGATAATGGCCACTCCTTTACTAGAGCAACAGGCGATGATAACTCCTCCACCAGAGCAGGCACAGACAGAGACAGCTTCTCCACAAGAGAAATCACCTCCATTAATGATCTCTCTCAAACCTGCAGAGACCGAGAGCACACCAAGTTTAGCTCAAGTGGGAGTGCTCATGCCTCTCCCCTCAAGTCCTTCACAATTAGATGTTGCAGTGCCTTCTCCGGTTTCTTCACCGTCATCATCAACCGTTCTCATAACGAGTCTCACAACTTCAGGGGCCCCGGTGACATCTTCTGCTGCTTCTCTAAGCCTGGTGGTTATTCCCTCCGTACTTAAAGTTCTTGTGGAGCAGTTGGAGAATATGATGAAGATGACCATGGAGAAAGTCAGTGTTGGATGAGCTTTATTCAATTCTTTCACGCCACTATTATTGAACAATCTGAGCGGTATCAGATATGCGGGCGATGCTCAATGGCTTCATCACTGCTCAAATAGTATCTCTGGCTTGGAAGAGGACTTGAAAACTTTAGAAGAATTGCATTGTGTTGACCTTACTACGCGGATTATATCAACCTTTGCTAATTACCAGGCTAAAGCAGCACATAATTATGAAGTCCTACAAAAGAGCTTAGCGGAACAAGAGCTTGAGATTGCACTCTTACAGGGCCAATGCGCTCAGAAGCAAGAAGCCGTGAATGTTTC